AAACCCTAAACCCTAAACCCTAAACCCTAAACCCTAAACCCTAAACCCTAAACCCTAAACCCTAAACCCTAAACCCTAAAGTCTATGGATATGGATTATGAATAAAAACTTGTCAAATTTGACATGGATACTCTTTTTATTTGATGAAACATGTTTTGACAAGTCTTTTTAACATGAAACTATTATAAATATTTTACATGCAAAAAGAATATCCATGTCAAATTTGGCAAGTTTTTTGATGAATTTAAAATTTAGCCAAAAATGTGATGGTACCCTTAGAGCTCGAGGCCAAAACTAAAAAAATTATAATTTATACATTATTGACATGTTTTTTTTACATCAAACTTTTCCAAAAGATTTTACATGCAAATAGAAATATCCATGACAAATTTGGGAAATTCTTTGATGAAATTAAAATTTGGCCAAAAAATGTGATAGTACCTCTAGAGCGCGAAGCCAAAACTAAAAAAATTATAATTTAGACATTATTGACAAGTCTTTTTGACATGAAACATTTAAAAAGGTTTTTACATGCAAACCGGTGCTGAAACACGGGTTTAATCAAAAAACTTCTAAAAACATGTTAAAAAACTAAAAAAGGTTTTAATCAAAAAACTTGTCAAATTTGACATGGATACTCTTTTTGCATTTAAAATCATTTCTAAAAGTTTCATGTAAAAAGGATTTGTCAGTACTATCTAAATTACAATTGTTTTATGTTGAAACACGGGTTTATCACGTTTTCGTACTAAAGCCGTGTTCGTTTTTATGACAGGTTTTGATAAAGCCAAACCGCCGTGAACGAGACAAGTTGTTGAATATACAAGGCGAGAAATAAATATAAGTAGAAAGGAAGAGAACAAGACCCAAAAGAAGACCAAGAACGAAGACCGTAGTCTTAGTGTTGTTGAGTCGGTCATAATTATGATCAAGACCGACCCAACCTTTACACCTTGGCTCTTTAGGCTAAAATTCTTTTCATTGCATCTCACACATCATAAAAATGTTTTCCAAACATGTTTAAAACATTAAAAACACTTGGTGTCCGCCCAAACCAAAAACCAAGCCATCCGGCGTTCGGGTTTCAGAAACCGGCATTCGGCGTTCGGTTTTCGGCGTTGGTTTTTGGCGTCCGAACTAACCAAGTGGTTTTCAACTTTTTATGACTGGTTTTTACTTCTGGGCACATTTAAATAGTTTTTCATCAAAAACACTTCAAAAACCACCTTTCGTTTTTTGTCGTTTGATAAAAACCACGCGAAACGGCATAAACTTGGCTAGCCGTGGTTTTTACTTAAACGAAATGGTTTTCAAGTCTTTTTGTGTGGGAATTGTTTTGAATGCATTTAAATGGTTCTCCAATCAAAACATCATGAAAACCACCTTTCGGTTTTGTCTTTTGGTGAAAACCACCCGTGTACGCTGTTGACTTGGTCAACCGTGGTTTTTACCTTAACGACGTGGTTTTCAACTTACAAAGCTTGTTTTGACATCAAAATACATTAAATAAGTGTTTTATATACTTAGTTTTTACTTTGGAGAACTTTGCATTTTTCGGTCGGGTTTCAGCGCTGGTTAGCTAGGCCATGGTTCTGGGCTAGCCATCTACCCAGCGATGGTAGATTTCACCCATGCATGGGTAAGTGATCCCGGGATTCCAGAATCATGTCACCCAGCGATGGGAAGATCTTCCCATCGATGGGTAAGCAGTCCCTCAGCGAAACTGATTTCCAGAACCATGCCAAACAGCGATGGGAAGTTCTACCCATCGATGTTAAAGCCTTGGTGCAACATTACCACAAGGCAGAATGCCCTTACCCAGCGATGGGAAGCCAGCGATGGGAACGCTTAACCATCGATGGTTAGGCATGACCGTTGGGAGTCATTTAAGGCTGATTCTTTCCTTATTTGAAAGTCAATCTCCCACCCAGCGATGGGAAGCATTTACCCATCGATGGGTAGGTAACCATTGGCTTCAAAACTAAAGGAAAATTGGCTTACCAGCGATGGGTAAGTTCCAAACATCGATGGGAAGCCAATATTCTGCAGATCCCAAATCTTTTCAATCCCATAAATCAAGCTAATCACCCCTTTAATGCATTGGTCCGTTGGAGCCTTTTTTGGCACTATAAAAAGGGGTGTTTGGGTCTGCCTTTCTCACCAATTCACTTCACAATATTCATATTATCATTGCATTCAAACAACATCATTTTTCATAGCTTTTTAGAGCCAATTTGTGTGAAGTTTGAGTTGTTCTTGAGCGTATATATTTTACTCATATCACTCTTAAGGAGAGTCTTGTTCTTGAGTGTCTTAGTGTTGTATACACGTTAAGGGAAGCTTGTTTCCCTTGGTTGTACGAAGGAAAGGTATTTCCCTTCGGGTTGAAGTCTTGGAGTGCGGTATCTCCGAGCAAGTGTTGTTGAGGCTCGTGGGACTCGAGTTCTCAGGATGTAACGGTTTGTTAAGCACCCGTAAGCTTAACGGAAGTAGTGTAGCTCGAGAGAGTCTCTCGGGAGACTAGATTAGCCACACGTTGTGGTGAACCAGTATAAATCTTGGTGTGCTCCCTTTACGCTTTCTACGCTCTTTACTTTTCACGTTCTTAATTTTTATTCCTGCGATTTCTACGATCAAATGCTATTCACCCCCCCTCTAGCGTTGGTCACATATTCTAACAATTGGTATCGGAGCCTAACTCGTGTCCAAACTTAACCGTTTGAGAGTAAAGCGATCATGGGTTCTTCTTCTAGAAATTTGTATGCAGGAATAGGTGAAGGGCAATCAACCACACGGCCACCTCTTTTTGATGGAACCAATTATAAATATTGGAAAGAACGAATGAGAATCTATATTCGTTCCACGAACTTCCAATTATGGTTGGTTATCAAAAACGGGGAAGAGGTGCCGATGAAGAAAGTCGGAGACAAGTTGATCCCCAAGACCGAAGACGAGTTTGATGCCGAGGACATCAAAAAGATCGAGAATTATGCAAAGGCAATAAATATGCTTTATTGTGCCGTAAATCCTGATGACTACCGCAAGATCTCCTGCTGCTCAACCGCCAAGGAGATGTGGGATAAACTTTAGGTGATGTACGAAGGAACGGACCAAGTACGTGAAGCCAAGATTGACTTCCTCACCTAAGAATATGAGATGTTCAGGATGAAGGAGCACGAGAAGATCGACGACATGTTCGACCGATTTTCCAAGATAGTCAACGATCTTCATGCATTGAAGAAGACTTACACCGACAGGGATCTTGTACGAAAGATCCTACGGAGCTTGACATCCGAATGGCGATCTAAGGCCGATTCCATCTATGAGTCAATCGCCACATCAAATGTCACCATCGACGGTTTAAGAGGTAACTTAAAAACCTATGAATCTACTATACTTAACCCGTCTTTGAATGACCAAAGGAAAGGCATAGCATTAAAAGCCTTCAAAGAACCAACGATGAATGACTCAAGCGACGATGATGAAGTCAAGCTTGTCATGAAGAAGTTTTGTAAACTTCTAAGAAAGAAAGAGAAGGTTGAGGATGGCCCTGTGTGCTATGGATGTGGTGAAGCCGGGCACATCAAGAACAAATGCCCGAAAAGCGGAAGGAATGCTCAGCACTTCAAAAGGCAAAGAGCATACATCTCCTGGGGTGGAGACTCCGGCGATGAATCAAGCGAACAAGAGGAAGAAGAGGAAGCAAATCTTTGTCTCATAGCTCAAGAAGAAGAGGAGTCCGCCAACAACAAAAACCAAGAGGTACGTATTTCTTCTACCGGTTCTTATTCTTTTGAAGAAATGCAAGAAGCTCTCCAAGAGCTTTATGACGAGTTTGTTAGCGCTTCTAAAACCAACAAAGCTTTAAAGAAACGTTTTTCTAATCTTGAAATTGAGTTTGAAAAACTTCAAAAGGAAAACGAAAAACTAAAAGTTGAAAACAAATTTTATGGTAAAAGAAGCACCGACAAACCCGAGAGCTCTAC